TAAATTCATAGGCTTAAAAAATATAATAAAAAATAAAATACACTGTTTATATTAGAAAGAAATGAAATATTCATTGACTGATAATAATAAAAATGAACAGTTATATAAAATGATAAAGAATGTATTTATAATATATAAGTATAACTTTATGTTACCGAAACTAATAAATAAATTATTTGGCTTTTTTGTTTCTTAAAAATTGTATCACTTTAGTAATGATATCTTTTCACCTTCATCAGTTCGAGACGATACAAATATGAGACGTTGTCAAGTCGAGTAAAGCGACGCAGTAAGTCAACTTTTTCGCTTATGTGCATGGGAGGCGGGGCAAAAGAGCGTAGTGCTGGTCAACTAATTCTTACAGTACAAGTGGGTAACTTATATAGGGAAAACGTATTTGTAACCGAAACTAATAAATAAATTATTTGGCTTTTTTGTTTCTTAAAAATTGTATCACTTTAGTAATGATATCTTTTCACCTTCATCAGTTCGAGACGATACAAATATGAGACGTTGTCAAGTCGAATAAAGCGACGCAGTAAGTCAACTTTTTCGTTTATGTGCATGGGAGGCGGGGCAAAAGAGCATAGTGCTGGCAACTAATACTTACAGTACAAGTGGGTAACTTATATAGGGAAATCGTATTTGTAGGTTGAGAACCACTGGTCTTTGGGAACGTCCTTAACTCCTGTTTCTGCTTCTAATATGTCTTTAATAACCCGTTTATGCCCTCTCATTTCTAACCTTCTCTACCGGTATCCTCATCATTCGCCGGTAACGCCACATTTCGAACGATTCTAACCTTTTCCTTTCTGATGCGCCCACCATTCACGTTTCGCACCTGTACAGCGCCGTGCTCCAAACATACACCTTTAACAATCTTCTTCTAAATTAGTTGTTCGCGAGCATAGAAGCAAATTTTTTTTCTTGAAGACAACTGAACCCTGCGCTTTCCTCTGTTTTGTATCTCTACTGCTTCTTCTATCCTGAGTTATCTGACTTCTTAGATACCGAAAATCAGTCACTTCATCTGATTTTTCCTCCTCTATCTTTCCTTTCCCTACTTTTTCTTCCCTTCCATACCAGTATTTTTGTTTTACTTTTATTTATTTTCATACAATACTGTTTTATCAATACCGCTTCCATTTTATTTAATGTCATCCCTAACTCCTCCTCATTAACAATTAATGGTAATTATTTCCTCTTCATGTACTGTTGTTCGACACGTAGTCTGCATATCGCAAACATTATCATCATTTTCCCTGATGGTATAACGGTACTTTTACAATACATTTCCTTTCTCCAAACATCTATTCTGTGGTACTGATACATGTATGCAAAACAAGTTGACACTTCTCCTCTGTTTCCAATTACAAACAGTAAACAATTCTTCAGTTCTTTTTTCGGTAATTAGAACTCTTACTCTCTATTCTTTTGTCTTTCACTCGACCATTTGTTCACGGTCTGGGCAACTTGATAATAAGCATTTAAAACTATAAGAAAACAGGTGGCTTCCGTTTTAACAAGATAAATGAACAAAATATTTTTGGTGGGAAGTTCCTTTTCTTACATTACAGCGGCAAGCAGCTATCCAACCAAAATTAGCGTTGACGGACGAATTTCATTATATTATCTAGCTTTTTTTTACCGAAATTTCCTTACCTGGAGATTCTTATAACGAGAAAAAGCTGTTTAAACAAAAAAATCAATTGCCGGAAGAAAAGAACTTTTTTCTTTAGTTATTCGCAAACATATCAAGAAATTTTATGAAAGTTGAATAAAAATCCCTTTTTCCGTAAGCTGGCTGTAAATTTCCTGTCTGATTAGCTTCCCTAAGTCTAGCAACGCTGACCAANACTTAATTATATAATTAACAAATTCGTTTTTCTTGTAAAACTAGAAAACCACAAACGAACCACACAGCTTATGAACATTCAAAAATTAATTATGGTACATTGGACCTACAACCTATAACACACATAACCTAAAAGATCATTTTGCCATATTTATGGTAATTGACTTTGCCACCATAGACATAAATCAATGGAGGTGCCTTAGCCGTATGTCGTAATAATTTCTTGGCTCGAAAAGTGAGGGAGATGGCGTATGGTTTCGGACTAGTGCTATCTCTTTGATGGCACGCTTACGCATTAGCGTGAGAGAGATGGATATTGTCCGAAACTTCGTTCCATCTTCTTCTTTTGTTGTAACACAATTCTGACCACTAAGTCATGTCCATTAGTAAACCTCGATGTTTGCCACTAATTCAAAGGAATAAGTGTCCCCATAGACATATATTAATGAACGTGCCTTAGTCGTATGTATTGCAATAATTTCTTGGCTTGAAAAGTGAGGGAGATGGCGTATGGTTTCGGACTAGTAATATCTCTTTCATGACACGTTTACGCATTATCGTGAGAGAAATGGATATTGTCCGAAACTTCGTTCCATCTCTTTCTTTTGTTGTACCACAATTCTGACCGCTAAGGCATGTCCATTAGTAATCGTCGATGTTTGCCACCAGTTCAAAGGAATAAGTGTCCCCATAGACATATATTAATGGACGTGCCTTAGTCGTATGTCATTGTAATAATTTCTTGGCTCGAAAAGTGAGGGAGATGGCGTATGGTTTCGGACTAGTGCTATCTCTTTCATGACACGCTTACGCATTATCGTGAGAGAAATGGATATTATCCGAAACTTCGTTCCATCTCTTTTTTTTGTTGTACCACAATTCTGACCGCTAAGGCATGTCCATTAATAAACGTCGATGAGTGTCCTCTATGATGCTGACGAATGCTGACGTTACTTATTGCTATAACTGATTTATGTTAATTATAACAATTGTATCTACAATTGTTTAACATAGATTTATACACTTTGTTTTTGATGGTGAATATAAAAAGCTTTGGTAATTCTTTACATTAGTTGACATTGGAATTGAGACATGAAGTTTAGTCAGATAGATAGTACTGACCAAGTAGAATCGTGTGGTAGCATTAATTCCGTGCGGAAAGCAATGTAGCTTGAGATACAGGCTCCTAAAGTTATTTAATCGGAGGAAATTTCGATTGGTACGGCCCTGGCTGCAGCCCTTCGTCAGCTGTTCTCGCCAAATATGTATTGATGACGTCATTGTTTAGTTAGGTAGATGTACGACAGACTCGAGTTTGTTTAATGCCCCTGCCCGCCGAAGGCGGGCTGATACATTAGAATAATGTTAGGAAGATATGTTTTAGGACAAACGATGTTTGGCGGGAACAGCTGACGGAAGGCTGAAGCCAGGGCCGTACCTNATTAGCGTTGACGGACGAATTTCATTATATTATCTAGCTTTTTTTTACCGAAATTTCCTTACCTGGAGATTCTTATAACGAGAAAAAGCTGTTTAAACAAAAAAATCAATTGCCGGAAGAAAAGAACTTTTTTCTTTAGTTATTCGCAAACATATCAAGAAATTTTATGAAAGTTGAATAAAAATCCCTTTTTCCGTAAGCTGGCTGTAAATTTCCTGTCTGATTAGCTTCCCTAAGTCTAGCAACGCTGACCAAAAATCGAATGTGTTAGTGGATATCTCTTTTCTTCTAACTTACTGCTTACAGATAGAGAGAATAAGAGAGCTGACGAGAGTAAATTCGATTAGATTGTCATTTGATGAATACGGTGGCGGTTTTAAGTTCGCGGAAGGTAACAATCGCTGGGAGCTAGATTAGGACTGTAGGGTGGGTGCGCCAAAATTTCTGCAGGGCAGCCATTGCAACACGTCTCTTGTGAACAGGCGCGTTGTCATATAGAGGGACACCTTTGATCAATTTTCCGCATCTTTTTTTTTTTAATGCTTTCTTTAACCGCTCTAGGATTGAAACATAACATATTCCGGTTATGGAGACGCCTTTATCTTTATAATCGATCAGTAGGATCTCTTCTGAGTCCCAAAAGACTGTCGCCATGATTTTCCCAGCCGACTGTGACACCTTAAACTTCTTATACTTATGTATAAGTAAACCCCACACGATATTATAATAAATGGGAGTCGTATACCCAACTATAGGTATTTTAAATAATATTCCTTCATGTCAGAATTTTTAAAATGTTCTAATGTAACTAAAAATACGTACACAACTGTATTCCAGAGAAAGTTCCTTTTTTTAAATGGAGATACTGAGTTAGATAAAAAAAATGAAACTTCCGCGTGTATATCTCTTGAACAGAAGAATGATGAAGAACGCGCCGTCCCTAAAACAATTACAGTTGCTTATCAACCGGAAATTGCCGATCATAGGAAATTAGAAAACCAAAAGATTTAAGGAATTGAGATTTAGAAAGGAAGATAAATTCAAGTCCGTTTAATTAACTTAATTATCTTTTATTCCAGGAGACAGTGCACCGTCACATCTAACTGGCGGCAGAGCAATGATGAAGATCCTACAAAGCACAGGAGAGGTAATTACTGTTTCAGTTTCCTGTACACGAGTCACATGTCGTTTTATTCTTCTCACGGCACAGTTAAAAAGATACAATTACCTGAGAATTAATTAAATGAAATTTGTTCTTTAGAATTTTGAAAAGAAAAGGTTGACTTAATTTCAGGGAAACTTTATTGGCAATTTTTGTTTCATTTACCTAGTTATTATCAAAACAAGTCATGTAAAACGCAACTGTAGAAACAAGATTGCAAAAGAAGATTAATTAAACATTTACATGGACCACAGACATGGGAATTGGAAAGTGTAATTCACCCGACCCACACGTTCGCTATTCGACAAGTCCAGAGCACATATTCCCCGAATATCAAGTGTGGAAAAGCCGCTTGTCATGAATGTTCGGTATTCGTCATTTCCCGCTTTGAATTGGCCTTTTGTGCCGAATCAAAGAAACGAATATTCGGCTATTATGATAGTTTGCATCCGCTCCACACATTCGGATATGGGGCCTTAAAAAACCTTTTAAGTATTTCATTCTCTTTGGCTACTTATGCCGGATTACGCCGGAGGGTAGAGCGGAAGCCCTTCTTCAGTCTTCATTTAGAAATCGTAGGGAAGGTGGTTTTTGAATGGAGAAAGATGAGATGGACGAAATGAAGACACAAGAGAGTGGTCCAAACAAATTACTGAAAGATTTGGACCAAGGTAGATGGACTCGGAATCGAATCGATCCGATCTATGATCAGTTCCAGGCCCCTTGTTCGTCGAAAAGCAGTCTGTCTCTGTGAGGATACCAACACCTTCAGTGACAATCCTCAGGGTTATAGGTCTTCTGGGTAGTCGCCCTCTATTCTCATGTCCAAGACAAAGTTCTGGCTTAGTTTTGTACATGGGGCGGGTTAACAAAGTTGAGGGTAGCCTGCCCCATTGAATGGGGTTACGAAGTGAAGTGTATAGGACAGAGTAGCTATATGTGGATGGAGTATATAGTCTGAGCCATTAGAGGGGGGCTGCACATTTTAGGGTGAAAACAGAATATAAGGGGCGAAAAGCAAAGGAACTCGGGCTAGCCAGGAGGCTGAAGGGTGTCCGGAGGTAGCACGTATATAGCGGAAAGGATGTCGAGGTGTTCCAGAGTAGCTGATGATTGCCACCGGATTTTCTATACTGGTATCTCGAAGACGGGAGTATTCGGGAGTCTAGCTTCTGCTCCTCTTCCACTAATTGGTATCGGATTCGAGGGGGCAGTTCGTTGATAGCCTGAATGCTGGATTGGAAGGCTGTGCAGCGAGACGCTCTGTTTTTAGTCCTCGAGTTGAACGCTTCAGGGTTTGAACAGACCTGAACCTAGGGAGTTACTCACCTTGTTAACTCTAAGGAACTGCGGTGACTTCCTGGAAACAATCCGTCTGACGAAAGGAAACCGGAGGAAGTCGTTCATTGTATCCTGGTGCAACTGTGTTGGTTTGACATATAGATAAGCCTTGTCAGTTCATACGCCGCACGTGAAATACTCTTCATTAGTTGCTCTTTATTATAATTTTGACAACAAAATGATGGTTTGTCTTTGTAATACACGTAAACGTGGAATAACATTTCCATTTAATGATGTTTGTACTACAAAATTTAATGTGTATTTTTTTTTAATAATACAGTCGCAAACGTCTTATTCTATTGCAGTCATAGCCAATTGAATAAACCTATTTTATCTGTCATGGTTGGTTGCAGATCATTTTCTTTGCAATTTGAGAAACTTTTTTCAGCGGTAGTAGCAACTGTTACCGGTAATAAAGATTTCTACCGGTAATACTGATGTATGGCCTGGTTATTATCAAAATAAAGATTTAACAATTGTAATTTTCGGAATTGCCATCGACCTTTTGGAAGTTTTGGAATGAGCTAGACGCAATAGTGCAATGATTAAATAGCATCGTAGGACGCTTTTATCAGTTTTGTGCCATTTATCGGTTAGATATCTGTGAAAATTGATTAAAAAGCGTATTTCAATTATAGAGAAAACAACACAATGTAATGTATTGTCCTCATTGAACGATTGAGATTCCAATAAATTATTATCTTACATTTATCGACTCTCTACTGTAGATTTTGCTGCGTTTTGTCACATTTTAAAACAGACCGCCTTCGCTAAACAATTTCTTCGGTAATTTCACCCACTATGCCTTTTCAAGTTCCAATAGAAAAATGAAAGTAATGCTTATAACTCACAACGGCTAGGACGTGTGTATTTAAAATGAAATGCACGCATGCAGTACCACGAGAAATCCAAGATTTGGCCAATTCGACAGTTAAGTTTATTGTAAGCTGAAAGAAAGCTATTGTACTTACAAATTCCGTACATATTGAAAAAGTAGGATATCCTTGATCTAAACCGAACTCATTGGTTATTCTATGCCCATTTGACCTTAAAGTTCGCGGAATGGGGGGTAAGAAGTGGAAATAAAAGTACGAACTTATTTTTCCTTTCCAATATATTCACCTGCTGTAACTTACGTATAGGTACCTTCGAAAAAAAATGTTTTGTCTTTGTCTGAAAAATACGCTGAAACTGCATCTTTCACTTTTTCGTCTCTTGAAAATTTCTTCTCATGAATACTATTTTTCAAGTTTGGGACTAGGTAATAATCGCTGCGAGTTAGGTCAAGACTGTAGGGTAACAAAATTTCGATGTCCACCTTCTACAGGGCAGTCATCGCAACATGGATCTTGTGAACTGCCATCTTCTGCTGCCTTTAGTCATGTCAAGATGATCGTGAATAATTTTAAAAATAGTTGTATCTGGTACTCCTACTATTTCTGCAAACTATTTCTTCTTAAGTCCGTAAGTCGTCTTCAAGTGAGTCCTTGCCTTGCTTAAACAGGGTATGCCACTTGTAAACCATGGTTTTACCTAGGCAACAGTCCCCGTAAACGGTGACATCTCTTCCAGTATGGTTTGAACTGATTTTCCTTGCTTGGTAACGAACTTTATAACAGCGAGGGACTCGATTTTCTCTATATTTCACAATTTGTTCTCGATTGACTTGTTTCGTCAGCGATAGTTCAAAGACTACTGATCTAATTACGATAAAACTTGGTACTTATACTAATAATGAGTTATTTAATTCGTAATGCTTCAAGTAAGTACCCTGACTAATGACCAACCTTCCCATCCTGCGAACCTAAAAACGCACCCTCTTACAATTTGATGTTTGAGTAATTTTAGACAAATTGGATTTATAAGCGGTGACTCTATTGACATGAAATTTTGTTATTAAGAAAACACTACTTGGCTATTTTTAAGAAGTCGTAAAGCTCATGGGTACTATATGTTTTTAATTATATACTTACAAAGGGTGGCTATTTTATTTTTAAAAAAATGCAGTCATATATATGTAATCCTCTTCAAAGTTAATAGTTCATTCCGTACTCTGTCTTCCTCTTTCTTTGGATATATTCAAAATTTATTTATTTTGCTTGAACCGGGTCCAAGGCTGCAGCCAATATAGACGTTGACGAAATCCATCTATGTATGAACAGTTTTAAGTCATTGAAAGTCATTGGTAACATATGGGCTTCAATTTTCAGATGACAAGTCTTTTACCGTCCCAGATTAACAACACCAGAAATGCCCAACAGGATATAGTGTTTTTTAATAGGGTTCCAAAAGTGGGATCTCAGATGTTTATGGAACTCATCAAACGACTGAGTATTCGAAATGATTTCGGTTTCAACCAAGACAGAGTGCAAAGGGTGGAAACCATAAGGATGGACACTGAAGATCAAGCAAGATTGGCAGCTTTGGTTTCTATCTATACTCCACCTGGAGTGTATATTAAACATGTTTGCTTCACAAATTTTAGCGAGTAAGTTAATATTCTATTCCGTTTAAAATTGTACTTGGATGCAAAAGGTTTGATTTGATTTATAGCATTATATTGATTTTTGAAAGAGCGAATATAACGATAGGAGACGAAAGATTAGAAAACGTGGCTGATTTTAGATACCTAGGAAGTCAGATAAGTTAGGAAGTAGAAGATAGCGCAGCGTCGAGTCTCCTTCAATAAAAAAAAGTCAACTTCTCTGCTTGCGAACGGTTAATTTAGAAATTAGAAGTTTGTTAAAGGTGTATGTGTGAAGCGCGGCGCTGTACGTGTGCGAAACGTGGACGGTGGGCGCGGTGGAAAAGAAAAGGTTAGAAGTGTTCTAAATGTGATGTTACAGGCGAATGATGAGGATACCGTGGATAGAGAAGGTTAGAAATGAAGAGGTATTAGAAATAATAGTTGAACAGACGACTTTATGGAAGTCAATAAGAAATAGACGAGATAGGTTGGTAGGACACCTTCTCATGTATTGAGGTCTAGTCAGAAACATATTAGAGGCAGAAACGGGAGTTAGGAGGGGTAGAAGCAGACCTAGATTAGATTACTGTTCGCAAATAGTTAAGGATGTGGGCTGTTCTAGTTTCAGGGAAATGCAAAGATTAGCTCAGGATAGGAAAGATTGAATGTGTGTGTCCAACCAGTCTTTGGACTGACGATCTGGTGTCCTGAATTGGAATCTAAATGATTTTTGTTTTAGGTTCGGTTTTCCGGAACCGATTTACATAAACATTGTAAGAGATCCTATTGAACGTGTTATTTCTTGGTATTATTATGTTAGAGCTCCATGGTATTATGTGGAAAGAAAATTAGCTTTCCCGGATATTCCTCTTCCTGATCCAAAGTGGCTGAAGAAGGTTTGTACTTTTATTGTAACATTCGATTTGTAAATATGTACTAACTTTTAATTGTTGTTATGTTTAAGGATTTCGAGACATGCGTTTTGTCCGGTGACAGAGAATGCAAATACATAAAAGGAGAAACGCGAGAAGGAATAGGAGATCATAGAAGACAGTCGATGTTCTTCTGTGGACATGCCGATGAATGTACGCCATTTAACACAAGGGGTGCATTGGAAAGAGCCAAAATGGCGGTCGAGAGGCACTATGCTGTCGTGGGAGTTTTGGAAGATTTGAATAAAACTTTAACAGTTTTTGAAAATTATATTCCTCGATTTTTTGAAGGAGCTTCTGACGTTTATTGGAGTGAGTATTAATGATACTGTTTGATAAATATATAGCACTTACTATATTGCTAATATAAGATTGCGTGAACGCCATCAACGTGGTCCGTACAAATCAATCCAATCACATCTGTTTATCAAATATGATATAAGTTATGCCAGAAAATTGTGAGCGCCATAACCTAGAGGTGTAGACTATTACTTAGCATCCTGGAGGACGCCGGTTCGATTCCGGGTACATCTGCCTCGGTCCAAGTTTTCCTGTAGTTTTCTTGGATCACTTAGGCAAATGCTGAGGCAGTAATATTCAACAGATAATCTTTCATTCTCTTCTGTCTTCATTTCGTCCGTTTCATCTTTCTCACCCGAACCACCACCCACTCATTCTCACGATTCCTGAAAGGAAGCTGAAGAGGGCCTTCCGGCGTAGTCCGGGGAGACTGCCCGCTCACTAGCATTAGTGGCTAAAGGGAATGAAACACCCGAAAGTTCTTTTAAGTTTTTTGTATGTTAAATCGTTTACACTCCAGTCATGATCTATCTCATAATATAGTTATGACATACGCTTCAAATGTCGTAGCCAGTCAGCCCCTCGCCGGACCTAGCGTCTACAAAAGACCCTTATTTGCCTGTACTGGCTAATCAGGGAAATGGTTGAATTAATTTCGATAAAATATTACAGACACAAAGATAAATTGTCATGAGTGATCTAAGGTACCATTTGTTTTTTTTCATGACTTTTACCAATCGATCTGCATACTGCTTGCTGTTTCTATTGCGCTCTTCAGAGTGTAACATATTTCTACGATGGGGTGACTGTTAGACTTGAGTCCTAGGGCTTTCCCCGTGTCTACGCCATTGTACGTTTCGGTTTATTTGCCTTTTGTGTTATAATAAATGCCAGTATGAAAGAGCGTGCCTTAAGTCGTTGAATAATTTGTTTATACGTAATCTTATAAAAATGCGATAATAAGAATGGTACACAATAATGCGATACGTATTTTTTGAATAATTCTAAGAAATTTTGGTACAAAAGATTTGTTGTTACAGATGAGATAAACAAATATCATACAATTAACAAAAATACATTCAAGCCACCAGTTAGTGAAGAAGTTAAAGATATCGTAAGAAGAAATTTCACAATGGAAATTGAATTTTACGAATTTTGTAAACAACGATTACATAAGCAATATGCAGCTTTAAGACTTCCAGAGATTCCGTAGGGTGTATAACAAAAAAAAAAACAATAAAATAAACTGAAGTGTATAAAAAAATATAATTTTGTACTATTACAGACGAGAAAATACACACTATAACTGTTTCTCGAATAATAATAAGTTCTAGAATATGCTCGACGTGTATATATTATTTTGCGACTTAATTGTGATTTATAATATTTATTGTATCAAATTGTACCCTATTGTAATCAGCACTTTTGTGATAGTGTTTATATTGTCTTATTTACAACATAAGAAAATTTTTTAGCTTTATTTTGGTTATATTATATTTCTTGATTTAATAAAAGATAGTAAATAAATTACATGTACTTGTACTAGATAACAGTAGATATCTAAACAAAGATTATTTAATTAGCAATTACCTACTAACTTCATTTGTTTAATAAACAAAATATGTTCGACGTATTCAGCACTGGATTTATATAAGAATATTTGGGACAGGTGCCCAGGACCTTCTTAGAATTATCCAAATATCTTTTTCTATTATCTTGAGGGATTAATGTGGCTAAATCATTAATCACGCCCTCTCGCCACTTGTGTCTGAGAATAGTGATCATCCTAAGTCCTTCCTCTCATTATCCTGTCCTCTTATTTTCCTAACTCATTTCTTTCCATATCCTCATATTATTATCACATCAATTCCTCACATATCTATCATATTTTAATGTTATATCAAGTGGTAAGACCTCATTAGGCAAAGAAACACCAAAACTATGAAAAAATCGACAATGCACACCGGAAAATTTTGGTGGCACGTAACTCAAAACAGCTGGATACCTATGACACTTTTTCCGGTAAAAAATATAAAATGTATCAGCACATTTACAATCATCATCATTAAAGTGTCGTCAGTTCTGAGACTGGCCGGATACACACTTCCACTCATTCCTAACCTAAGCTTACTTTCGCTTTTCCTTAGAGCTAGAACATCCCTCATCCCTAACAATTTGTGGACAGTAATCTAATCTAAGGCTACCCTCTACTCCTCTTAACTCCTTCTGTTTTTAACATGCCTCTAACTGGCTCTTCATGCCTTAGAAGGTGTCTTACCACCCTATCTCATCCATTTACAATAGCGAGTAAAAATTTTGCAAACATTTTCCTTTTAGTAGATAGTATAAATTTTCTAAATTACCATTACCTACTGTAATAGTCGGGTCCAAAACTCATTTGTTCCTATTGACCTCCGATGATTAAAGCCGGAGTCGAGCGCATGAGCCCAGCCTTCATCTGTTGTTATCATACGACCAAGCACGCGATGTAGAAAAATTTAAAAAGATAAGTTAAGTGTTAGTGTAATGTTCGTCGCGAGCAGTGGGTTTACTGTTTTTTAATTAATGTGTACAGTTTTACTGAAAAACTATACAAATTATACTTTTCTGTATACCTAATGAATTAAATATGTTAATTGGGATACTCGGAACCCTGCAGTTGCAGATCAAAATTAATAAGGTAAGTTACTTTTTGACTTTGACTTTAACATTGAATGATTATTAGTTGGTGTTACTTTTGGTTTACATTTAAATAAAAGGTAAATTAGGTACATAAGCTAAACGTATTTCCTGTTTAGTAAACAGAAATCCTTAGCAAGGAACCACTAGGAATCACTAGTAGTGTATATCAGTAGCAGCGTTTATTACGTAGATGATGGTTTAATACTTTCAGCCAACTGTTATGATTCATTTGTGCTGAAACAAGTACTTTAGCAATTATCGTTAGTATTTTAAAGACCTTTTATGTTAACTACCTAGTGACAAAATGCAGCTACAAAATGTTAACCTTCCTTACAGTAGATATGTCCTTAACTAAATTGGTTTAGAATAACAATACTTTTAGAATTTGTAAGATACTAATTTTATTTCCTTCTACAAAACGAAACTTATCTCGTAATTGGCCAGTGATATTTGGAGGTTGTCCAAATTCCTGTTAAAACACCGTGGAAAATATATTAATTCAAGTTTTGATTTAATAGACTTTGGCACCATTATCTGTCTAAATCGGCGAACTTCACACGCTTGGGATTGTGAATTTTTCGGTAATACTTGCTGTTGTATAATTCCACTTTCTTCTTATTTGTATTTACACACGTAAGGTTTTTATCATTACCATAAGATCGTCAGCCCTAAAACTGGTTGGACACGCACCTCCACTCCTTCCTATCCTGAGCTAACCTTCGCATTTCCCTAAAACTAGAACAACCCACATCCTTAACTATTTGCGAACAGTAATCTAGTCCAGGTCTACCGCTACTCCTTTAACTCCCGTTTCTGCCTCTAATGTGTCTCTGACTTGACCTTCATGCCTGAGAAGGTGTCCTACTAACCTATCTCGCCTATTTCTTATTGACTTCAATGGAGTCCTCTGTTCTCGTATTCTTTCTAATACCTCTTCATTTCTAACATTCTCTATCCACGCTATCCTCATAATTCGTCTGTAACACCACATTTCGAATATTTCTAACCCCTTCTTTTCTGCTGCGCTTACCGTCTGTTTCGCACCCGTACAACGCCGTGCTCCAAACATCACCTTTCACAAACTTTTTCGAATTTCCAAGTTAACCGTTCGCGAGCATAGAAGTGACTTCTTTTTATTGAAGGCGACTCGACCCGCGTTATCCTCTGCTTTATATCCTTACTACTCCTTCCGTCCTGACTTGTCTGACTTCCTAGATACCTACATAAAATCAGCCACTTCTTCTAATCATGCGTCTCCTATTTTTACATTCGCTTTTCCCTACTTTTTCTTCTCTTGCATACCATTTTTTTGTTTTCCTTTTATTTATTTTCATATAATTATCATAGGTAATCTTTGGGAAAATATTACATTGAATGAAAAATACAAATTTTCACTTTGAAGAAGAGCTTTTTTGGAATTTCTTATTTGAAAGCTTACGAAAACTATGTTTATTTAAGAAAATTGAGAGAAAAAGTTTTTATCTCGCAGATTAACAGTTCCAATTCCAAGATGTTTTCAAGTAATAAACATATTATTTATTAGATAAAATTTTATTAAACTCACCGTTGTGGATACAAATTAAGTAGATACATATTATTTACAACTTAAAAGTAATGGTGCAGGTAAAAAGTATATTTTTATTCATGTACTTGTCTAATTTACATATCAGTCAATACACTGTAGATTAAAATAATTATACTAGGTATATACATTTTGGCAATTGGTAAAAGGTAATCGATTTAGTACCTATCTACCAAATATTTATTTAATATGGAAACAATAGAAAATTAAGAATACAATTATAATAATTGGAATTATTACATTTATATACAGGATAGTATCAAAGGTTTGTGATGATGAATCATTAATTTGATAATTCTGGATTTGAGACAATGAGAATTGATCAGAAAAAAAGATGTAAATTAATATTCAAAACTTTTAACTTTTTTTAAATGTATTGTCAAGCTATCGGGTTTTCAATAAATTCAGGAATTTTTCAGATTTGATATACGCTCGATTTTTCTGTATTATTTGGAAATTTTACCATTCCATATAGTAACACAAGAAAATCAAATTACTTTGTACGTTTTGAGAATGGTTTTATGATAAAGTATACCTACATCTTTTTATTGTCGATTTCTAATATTCTGGAATCAGTGTAACAAACATCAAAGAGGAAAAAGAAAAATAAAAGTAAACTAAAATGTGATTTTTAAAGGTACTACAGATTAAGGGCAAAGACACCCCCTCCCTTGTGTTTCTGTTATTATTAGGTTGAAAATGAAAATGTAAATCGATTTACCAACGTTTCACCAATTGATTGGGGAATTTCTCAAGGTAATTTTAAAATAACTTTTTAATTATCTATAGGAAGTCCCTTATCAGGTGGTAAAGAGGTAATTTTGAAATTACTCTTACCAAATTCTTGTTAAAGATTTCAGTGCTACTTCATTCTGAAACTGTTTAATTAATAAAAAATTAGTGGCTGCCCACTAATAAGAAGAGATTTCTTCTCATATATACTTCATTTACTTTCTCTAGCGATGCGCCCCTTCCTATGTCTTGGATGCGCGCTGGCAAAATCGTAGGTAGGGAGAAAAAAGCTCATTATACTCTCGACTCTTGTTCATTAAACATACTTTTTCATACAGTACCTGCCAAAAGTTTTGTTCAATCATGAATAGTAGTATTGCGAGTCGAAAACAAGCGTTAAAGCCTTTAATACGTCTTCAAAAATAAATAAACATCTCCTTGATGTTTTCAGTAGTAATTGGTACAAATAACAGCACATTTGAGCAATGCAATTTTAGTGGATAAAATGGTCAATTTTTCCGTGCAGTACTGTACGGATTGTACGCTCCTCACCGGTTAAGAGGTTGGCCGAGAGTTGTCTCCTTCCTTTTCTGGCCTAGTGCTGTTCTTTTCCACTTTGCGCCGGTCAAACTGAAAGCCACATCGCTACAGAAAGTAAACGAAGTATACGCATTATGTTCATGTAATCATTTTTTATTTACTTGAGTGACTAGAATTTTGACTTTCTGAGCTATCTTTTCTGTGTTGTACCCCATTAGATTTGTGATACCCGTTCCTCGGATAATTATTGTTAGTATTCTGATTATTATTATCACTGCAATATGTCGAGTACACGTCAAACAGTTTAGACGATTGCGGTATTTGAACATGTATTTCATGTCTTAATGGAGATGCATCTCTTCTGTTATTTGTCTTGTTGTGATGATTCTCCTTGGCAGAATTTCGATTTGGAACTGGCGAATCATTTGTTCCGTTAACCAATTTTGGATAACCCCCGTTCGTTATAGGTTTTTCATGAATGCCATTTTCCACTAAATTTTCCTTTTTTAAATTACCATCTAAATTTGACAAGTTCTTCATTGAAAGCCATTTGTCTTTTTGTTGTTCAAGGGGAATCCTAGGATCGATGGGAGGAACATAAATATCTGAAAGTCTCCTAGAACTGATAGTAGATATTCTCCTTTCCCTCCGTCTTACACTATTTTCGGATATGGGTCCCCTTTCTTTCACTCTCTCGCCAATGGGATTACTCTCGTTGTCTTTTATCATGACATTTTCTTCAGATGCTGTTTCTTCTTCATCTTCTTCTTCAATCACGCTTGTTTGTATCCATTGTCTAATCCTGTCCTTTTTAGCAGTTCGATCAACAGTCGTCTCTATACCATATTGGGTTAGAGTGAAAAGTAGTTTGTTCTTTTCTTCTGGGCTGCTATGGAAACTGTACATGGACGGGCACAGACCATCGTCGTCTACAGCCAGATTGTTGTTCTTTTCCATGATCCCCTTGGCGAGCCATCGGTCGTCCAGGAACCTGTGAACTTCTCCTAAGCTTATTGGTCGCCTTTCTTTCCGAGGCTCTAGAAATTTTTTGAACAATTTAAGTGCTTTGGATGATACTAATTTAAATAGTTTTGGTTGTTTTTTCAATGGCATCGCACTTGACTGCCAAGAATGATACCTAACGTATCGGGGATCGTCCAAAGCAGCTTTTTGCCATGGAAGACACCCTGTCAAACATACGAAAATTACTATTCCATACTGCCAAACGTCATGAGTAGTTTCTGCCCTGAAAAAGAAAGAACACTATTTTAAAATTCCATTAATAATTAAATAATGATTCGAAGTAAAAAAAAATTGACATATTGAACTAGAGAAGTATTTATTAAATTCGTCATACATACTTATAGCTATCGTCAGTCTTCACTTCTAAAACTTCAGGGGGAGCGTACGGTAACCATTCGTTTCGTCGAAGGACGTTCGATCCATTCCTTCGCGTTTCCCCAAAATCACATAACTTAATTCGAGAAAAGTCTGATTTAAATACTAAAATATTGTCTAACTTAACATCGCGGTGCACTAAGTCCCGCATGTGAAGGTGCTCAAGGGCAGCTGCCAATTGTTTGGCCACTCGTTTGGAATGAAGTTCACCAATTCCGGTGTCAGATACGTTGGATGTCAAGTCACCTGAAACAACATCAATAATAAAGTTTTATGTTAACGACGTGGTCCTTCGAGCCGGATTCGAACCAAACATTCGCGAATCATTGCTTAATTATTTGTAATTTCTTTATTTACAACTCTCAATGTGTCTTTATAAATAAGTATAATCTCACCTAGTGGTGCATATTCTTGTGAAAATACGTAGAATCCTGCAGTTTCGAAGGCAACGTCATACGTACTGATTATATTTTTATGGGTACCCAGATGCAGGCCGTAATGAAACTCCCGGTAAAAGTCCCTAAGGGCCGTGTATGGCTTCGGCAGAGCTTTCAGAACCATTTCTGTGTCTGTCGCTTTATGCTCAACAAGCAATATTTTTCCAAACCATCCTTCCCCAACTATTTGCAGAATGTCAAATTCATCAGCCAAATTTACCTGTCATAAAAGAAGAAGTATTAAAGACGTTTCGCCAACTGCCTACTATACTTGACATCCTCAGGGAACGTAGCTGGGTTGTAAAGTTTTCCGCTGTGTATGTTTGCACTAAATCTCAGTAGAACCACAGCGAAGGACTTGGTACCCTGGGGATGCTAACCACACTAGTTGTGGGATTTGGGATAAACGACCCCATGGTGTTCTCACCTAACTTTTCATGAAAATCAAAACCTTTAACTTCCGTTTCCGAAGATTGTGAAGAGGAATTCAATAAAATTTAAGTTTAAGCTTTCAAAAACGTTATACTTAATAGTACGTATTTGATATAGTGTGAAACCCAAACTATTGATTTCTTGACACAATTTTTTTAAAACATTAAAATAACAATAGTATGCGTCAGGTATCTTGTTTATAATGTCGACAATAAAGATCAACATCAAAGGTCTAGGTTCTGTTGATAGACTTATGTTCGAAATGATTGAATGGTGCTGTAAGCGTGTGTAAGTATAAATGAGGATTTTAATTGAACAGATAAACTTCGGGTTCAGGAAGAGCCAGGGCATTTTCTATTTTCGAGTTCTCGCTTTTGGCAGACAATGGCTCTGTTGTAGACCATGAAGCCGTTTGTACACATTACACGGCATGCGTATGTGCCTAGGCATACATATGTATAAATAGAATTCAAGAAAGGTGTGGGACTTCATGGAATTCATTAGATTTATTATATGTACTTGTGTGCATTCATTTACGCAGTATAATGCTCTTTTAAAGAACATTGATATTGTCATAAAATTTTAGTCGACACATAAAAACGTTTTCTTTTTGTTGTTAAAATGTATGTGCGGCAACGTTTTCATTAAAAATTAAATAAAATAACTATGTACGGACGAATGCCAAAGCTAAAGGTTTAAAGTTACATTTTAATAATTTTTGGTGCCAAAAACCTTTTTGAAAGAATAATGAAAGTTTAGGATTTAGTATCTGAAACTATGCTCAGTTTTTTCATACATTTCAATATAAAATGTTGAAATTAAGGGATCTTGTTCGGTTAAAAGGACATTAAAGTAATTAATAGTTTTAATCTGATCATCTCTTAATATAGTGAAACAATTGTAGTGTTAGAAGTCAGTGTATTCTTGAAACTATCTAGAGGTATTTTAGAATCTCATGGGCCACGAAATACGTGAGGGGCGGGCCTTATTGCATTCATATTGTATATTTCAAGAACCTTATCTCGACTGTTAACCGTATGTCTCGTTATATAATTAAGGACAGAGTTTCAAGTAAACTGTAAAGAAAGGCGACCAATGTTTTTGCAAACCAACGACAAGAGCTTTGTCACTGTGCAACTCAGTCATGAGTCATGACCCATGAGGTTCTGAATTACTTCTACTTAAGTGTTTTCTTTAAATTATGAATCTAATTCATTTCAAGTTAACATATCAAATCCTGTAGTCTGTTTTGTTATCTATTATCTCCAATGGAGGATATGACTTCCTAGCCTTTTTGTTTTAATAGCCTCTATAACTAGCAAATACGCTGACTATCTATCAATAGCTTTGAGAAAAATTATGGAAAACAACAACCTTTATTAACAGACCCCTGTTTATTGATCCATAGTTTTCAACCTAAGTTTAACTCATTTTTTGATTATTTCCTTTGTAATTAAATTGCACTTTTGTTATGTTTTCAAAAATTTTCTCTAGTTTGGGTAAATATACCTATGAACCCTGACACAATATGATGTATAATGCAGATGTAAACCGCTGATGAAACAATAATTATTATTTTTCTATTTTTAGAGAGGTGATGTTTAGCTCAGATAATAACATTGGTACTAAAGTGGTCTAAGTTTGTTTGCGTTCCTGAAACTAAGGCCCAAAGTGCTATTATTGGTTAATGTACCGCATTTTTGATGTTTAATTAATTTTGTTTATGTTGGTTAATTTTGATGTCAACACTATTTTTGTTTTGAAACATCAAAACAAAGAATTAATAATAATGTAAACATGAATCTTAATTCAATGTTATTAAAAGCTTTATATGTTTCAACATAAAAATCATTAGTGGCACCCAAAATTAATGCCATACATACACTTAAAATAGAATAGGCCAAACATACGAGTATTCTATCCATTTTTTACGATTGGTTGGTTCATGTTGATTAAGATTAATAATTACATTGTTAAATGTGAATCCTTAACTGAATTTTTGTTAATAAAATCAGACGTTTCGCCACATGACTGTGGGCTTCTTCAAGGAAATTGTTTAGTAGTAAAGACGAGATTAGCATTTTCCTTGAAACAGCACAGTAGTTAACTCTTTTTAAATATTTTCAACAATAATTCCATGAAAACTTGGTCTTGAAAAGTTGCAACCTTGGCATTAGTTTTGCGAAAATGCAAGTACGTTGTACTAGAGAAAGGGTTAGTTTACGTTTTGTAGGAAGGGTAAGTTCTCGAGTTTCATAACTCTCACAACTATCGACACTATTTTCTTTAAAAGTCATGACAAGTTTGCATGTATGACAGAACATTTCAGTATTTAAGATAATTGTTGCGTCGGTAATTTGTGCTTAGAATTATTAAGTATCAGATTAAAGGAGTAAGTCCAAGACCAATTGGTCTTACTTATCAAAGCAAAGAAAGACTCAAGAAACGTAAGTTCAATTGTTGAAAATAGGTAGACAGGAAGGAAGAACAGGCGCCATAAATCAGTGCTATTAAACAAAAGATTCCTGTAAAATAAAACATATTAGTGACATTGTGTTAACGTAAAAATGCTCCTCCTTGCAGTTGTCCAACGCCTACTGTCTACAAAAATATACACACATTTCTCTTTGTTACATATGTCTATATATATATTTCCATACAAATGTCGAGTTTGCCAAAGTAAATTTTTATGTATCGTAGCAAATGGATATGAATGAAAGGTTTAAATATTGAACAATGTAGACTTGTGTGCGTTGCTGATAAGTGACATTTGATGACGCACTACTGACATCATGTTAGAGCATATCCCGGCATCTAAAAAAATTGGTGCTCCGTTTGTTACATTTAAATAGTTTCTTAATGTTTAATGAAAACTAGCAGCGAAACCCGGCGTTGCTCTGGTTAAATGGTATATAAAATATTTAAGGATCCAATTTTTAACGTAGCTAATATAGATTTCTATCTTAGATATTCACAAACTTACCCCTGGTTTCCTGGGCGCTGATCAACGTTAACAATTTGGTTAAACTGATAAGAGCCAATCACGTTCCGCAGTATTCAAGATTCTTCTTAACAATGACAGCTTGTCTTTTATTTTTTAATGTTTTCGATCGTTGTAGAATGTTGCAGAACACAAATTATTCCCGATAATGACAGACCACCCTGTACCTTTATAAAATTTCTTAATAATAGTAGATCGTTCTAGAATATTCTGGAATATTTGGATAAAATCTAGAAAATTCTCGAAATCCTTCATAATTAATTGCGAACATTTGGAACTTTCCAGTTCATTCCAGATATTTCTAGAACTTTCTGGAACATTATAGGTCGATTGTAACAGTTGCGCACATTCTGGAATTTTCTGGATCATTTCAGAAATTTTTAGAACTTTCCGAAAGGTCTCATAAGTTAGAAAATTATAGATATATATTTTTTCACAATTTCGCCACCCACAACCACCTACCGCGACCGAACTCCCTTACTTTCACCAGGAGACCAAGGGGTATTTACCACCCCAACGGGAAGTTGATAGGAGTTGGTGGTGACAGAGAAAACCCNATATATATATATATATATTTAGATTTGGATTATATGAACTATTAGGATAAATAATGGTGATGGTTATGCAAAATTGGTGGTAAAACTTTGTATAGAGAAAGGGTTGGACAAATGATTACTTTTAAGTTTAAATGGAGCGTAAAGAACTAGGATGAACATTAATGGATACATAAACGAACTATTTAATTGGGTTTAGATTGAGATATTCTTTTATTTCGCAGTTGACGGCAAGAGCAACACAATCTTCATTTGAATTTTGTGAATACAAAGGATGATGGTTATAACAAAGAGGCAATTTAGAAGTCAAATACGTAACTCATTCATTATTGGTAATATCTCACATTAAATGATACCATACTGGTAGAAAAGCAATGGTAGTTTTAATGTTTAATTAGTAATTAATTGAATGTATTCAGTGGGACACCATTGTAACGGTTGTGATCTCTGCTTCAATATAGTAATGTTGCCATAAGTCGCTGTGCTACCTACTTCCGGTCTGAGATTATCCAATGTTTTCGTAATATTTAACGGAAATTTGTGTAAACAAATGGACTAACTTTGGCTTTCAATCTTCAGGTCTGTTCTTTAATGTTCCATTGTTTACATTCAATTGGTCAACAATTACACATCAAAAAGGTTATTGTTTTTCGATTGATTTGGTGTCACTTGTTGTGAGAATTCAATGAGTTATTGAACTTTGAAATGGTCCACTTATTTTGTGAATTACCCTGTATGGATTAGCTTATTGACCGTATAATTAGAAATATACCCAAAGTAATAGAAAATATAAATAGATTGAAATACCTTATGACATTTTCTTTTCCTTGCATTCACGTAAAATTAAAATAAAAAGTTTATTGACAAAACAAAATGCTACTTCAGAATTGTTGCCATGAAATCGACCACCAAAATTAATGAGACCAAACAAAGAAAAGAAACACAAAAATAATCAATGCGAACATGTAGAAAGGTCAGTGCTACTTAAGACTTTATTTTGGGACGAATACGTTGCCGGAAATTCTTGATTTCCTGCAGGATTAGCAGTTAAGGATAGTGCACTAAAACACCACTAAAAATAAACAACATCAACGTGTGTTTCATGTCAAAGTTGATATAATTAGCTACTGACAAAACAAAGATAATGGTGGTGCCTACAATCAGCAGAAAATTAAATCAAGTCAAAATTAAATTGAAAAACTGTTTATAAGCAAATACTAAACAGTATGAGTAGTAATAACTTCATTACTCAAAAATTGATACAGAATAGTAGCCATTCATTGATGGTATACCCAGGTACACGTCAAAGTACACTTTCAATATGTTTTCCAAAATTTTAAATAGAAATGGCAAGGTGGGACAGCATAAAAAAGAATTACATACGTTCCTATTTCTAAAAATTTCTTAAACTGATTTCACTACAGTGCTGTGTTCGGTAAAATTACCGTTAAAAAAAAAAGTATTTTTTATCGATATATTGGTGACTGAAGATTGATTAGGAGGCGGACAAATATGCTTCTTGTGATCAAATAGGTTCTAAAGGCTTTTAGTTGCATTATTTATGTGACCTATCTAAATACGCTCCACTCAATACGTCAATACGAAAAGTAACAACTAGAAGCAAATATGAATACACTTTTCATTGCATGGGAGGGACATCCGTAAAATAATTTTTCCAAAAATCCAACCAATTCTGTTTTTGGTTAATTAATTTATGTCTTGTGACAAATTTCACTGTAATAAGTAGGTGCATAACCGAGAAATCAAAATAATGTAATTTGTTTGTAGGGAGTAGTCTCTAGAACTATTGATTTTATTCAAAAAATTTATTGGCCAAGAGAGAGCTGCACTATCTATGAGTAATATAGACCGTATTTTATTTTGATAAAAGTTTAGCTCAGGGTGTTATGAATAATAAAACTATGAGATGAATTTTGTTTATATCTAATATTTACTTCTGTGTTTGACACCGTTGCTAAAATTGTAAAGCAGGAAGGACAGGAATTGACTCACTCACTCAGTTCGAAAGGTTGCGAAACAAATTTAATTTCGAAAGACAATTTTAATTTTAGACACGCGGCAGCAACCTAAAACTCGCAGATATCTTTTACAAACACTGTCATCTAGTTAATTTAGAGAAACTTTTCAACACAACAATATCAGTAGTAGTCAAACTGGAAATAAAATTTATATAGCTGAGTTCTACGTAGAAAGTAGAACGCTCTATATCTTTTTAAAAAGATTCTTCCGTATCCAAAGGGGGCCGTTGTCATGCGGCCTCCAACTTCTTCTCTGAGTGGTCTGAACCTTGTAAAATCGTCACACGTTGGCAAATTGGGGCTGTAGGGTGGACGTTCAAGTGTTTTTTTTTTCAATTTTTCTGTTTAAAGCTTTGTTTAAAGCTTTAAGAAAAAAAATACCCTTTATATAAAGTGGCTGGATTAGGTTGAGAGTATTCATGGGGAAAAATCACATACTTTTACTCGCATTAAAAGCCAGTTTTTCTTCATCAAGGGGTTGATAGTAGTAGGTGGTGTTAAGTGTATTTTACTCATTAGGAAAATCAATGAGCAATATGCCTTTGCAATTTTAAAATTCTTTAAAGGAAACGAATGTAGTTTCAAAAAAATGTATATTAATAGTTCCCAACAATTGTTTCCCCAAAGCATTGGCTTCTTCTGGTGAAGATATTCTGATTGAAATTGTTAAAAAATTAGCTTAAATACTAAGAATTTACAAATTTTATGGTGTGGGAACAATGAAAGGGAGTATTAGATGGATATAATGCGCAGCCGCGCGTAAAGCGGGGAGTTCTCTAGAGTCCCGGCGGCGTGTGCTGTGCTCAGCTGTTGTTTTTTTACCTCTGTTCTCCACGTGACTGGGCATCATTGCCTTTCTTTTTTCTTTCTTTCATAGAAGAAGTGAAACTTCAACGGACAAGTGGAAAAACGAATAGTAACGGACAAGTGAAAAACGAATAGCAACCAAATTTTTTCTTTAAGTTTTACAGACAGGTAAAAATTTTGTTGCCATTCGTTTTTTCACTTGTCCGTTGCCATTCGTTTTTCCGCTTGTCCGTTGAAGTTTCCCTACTTCTTATTGACTTATGACTTTAATTCAATCATTACCTAATTGAAATATAATTACGTGTGTACATACGTATGGTGTGATTAATGCTTTGAATCGAATCGAACGCGTAAAGCAGTCGTTGCGAAAGTGCTATAAACAGTATTTTTAAACTTACTGCTAAATTGAAATTTTCAAAAAGCAAAGTAATTATTTTTAGAAGTTAATAAGTACTAACTACTTGTTCGTGCTTTTAGTGAATTGTACATTAACGTCAATGTTCAGATTTTAGTTGAAAGTTCTTTCCGAAAATCGTTGACATTTATGCCTTAAACGATTTGAAAAGTATTATTTATGTACAAAGAAAAGCTAAAACCCAGTTTGATGTTCTATATACACATACATACGTTTGCAATTGATCACTTCAACTTGTAGAAGATTGCTTATCAAAAAAAGGAGGCATTGATTCCTGATTTGAATATAGAAGTAGCATTAATAAGCATAGATAGTGACAAACAAATCAATTAATAATAATGATCAACTTTCTAAACTAACTGAAATTTTATTTTGGCATCATTTCATAGTTCGTATTGATACTCTAATTAATCGAGTAATGAGCTGTTATTTCCTGAAGGTGATTTATTTCAATTACTAAGAAAAAAAATACCTAATTGAGTAAAATAGACTTTTGAATCAATCAGTTTCTTTTTTATTTTTATCAAATAAAGTAGGAAACCTTCTCAGGCATCAGGAACAATTAGAGGAAGCAGAAACATAAGTTAAAGGGGTATGGGTAGACTATTCACAAATAGTTAAGAATGTGGAATGTTCTAGTCTTACGGAAGTGCGAAGATTAGCTCCGGATAGGAAAGGGTAGAGGTGCGTGTCCAACCAGATCATCTTATGATGTTGATGGTGAAGACGTTAAGAAAATTTATTAGCTACTTAAGAATTTTGAAACATATAACAAAGAACAACCTGTTTAACTGTTTAATATCATACGAAATACTCAGAGCATTGGTGGTTAATGCCAAAGGTCCCGGGTTCGATACCCGGCAAGGGTGTGGCAGTAGCAACAATTTTTTCTCACAACCTGAGGTAGCTTATAGTGGGCAAAAAATTGAAAATTAATTTTCCTATCAATATTTGAATTAATTTCGGTGAAATATTACAGACGCGAAGATAAATTGTTACGAGTGATCATTTGTTTTTTTTCATGTCTTTTACCAATAAATCTATATATTAATTTGTAATGGATAAAAAAAAATCAAGTATATTTTCACATTAATATCAGTTTAATTTCCTTTCTTTGCTGCTACGTAATTTTTACAAGAAATGTGTAGTAGGTCAATGATCAATCTAATTCATTTTTAAATGTAAATATCTAATTGTAAAATGACAACTCGAGATTCAACCGAAAACAAGCAAAAGTCTTTCTCTTTTCTGAACAAACAAAAGTTAACTTGTATGTCGGAGACCCTGCTAAAAATTAATGTATGTGTAGGTGGATCCATAAAATATGGCATTTACACATCATGAAAATTTGAGAATGTAATGCTTTTTGACCTAAGTCAACAGTTCAATCCAATTAGGCAGGTAGTTGACAGAGACGTTGAGAATGATTTGTTAAAAGTATTTTAATAAAAATTGGAAATACTTTTTGATTTGCTATTTCAAATGTAAGGTACAAAATAGTTTCACTTTTTGTATTTCAATTACTAAATGCAAAATACGTGATTCTTTGTTAAGTTCAATATGAAAGAATTTATATTAGATTCATGCTTTGAAAGTTGAACTTTATTGGAGTTCCTACCTACCTAATAGGTACCTTATCATTATTCTTTTTTCATTCTAGTGGCTTAGTTTAGTGGGTTCATATATGTAGGCATACATCGGTTATATGGTTCAATTCATAACTAATTTAGCGTATACTTTTTTATTGTTAACATTTTCTCGTTTGCTGTGGCATTACCTTCTCCAATTCAAATTCCCTGATTCTGTGAATGCTTCCTCCAATTGAAGACCTCATCATTGTTGAAATTCTGAACTTAACAAAAGTTACTCAAAAATAACGCTAACAGGTGTGCCTCCTTGAACGAATTTATAAAAATGTACAACTTCACATTTTATTAATTTTTACCACTCATTAATTTTTTAACAAAACATGCACCTACCACACAAAATGAACCATGACTATCTACTTGTCACATACTTGTATTATATTTACGAGTGTAATGATTAACCATTAATCAGGAAGTAACCGTGCGCAATCTTTTCCTGGATAACCCGGGATAGCGGATCGTCCACACAGCAGTTATTAAAATTTGTATTAAAGCACCCGCCGCGAGCGTCAAGACGTCGGTCGTCGGCGTCTTTCGGATAGCGTCTCATAGCGACTAGTAAAAGTTGGCATGCAATGCAAATACAAATGTGGGACAAGCCGAATGTGTATATTTTTAAAACTGTAAATGTGGCAAGTGGCCTCTGCTTGTCTACTCGATGTTCCGTGTCCAAAAGAGACAACAAAACAGGGAAAGAAAAATAGAATCTGTACTCCAACCAAAGTAATCATTGCTTATTCTTAATTTACTTATTAGGCGAACAAGTGATGATGAATTTTTATGTATCTAAAACTAAAACAAAAGAGTAATAAGCGAATACAATGATATGAGCAATAGATGCAATAGCAGTAAATATTTTTCTCATACCTAGTGTTGACAGAAAAGTCACTACGAATACAGTTTTTTTAATAAAATCTAAAATAGACACAGTCACTTCTACAAGATGTAATAATAATTAATCTCTAAAAAAAATGTTCCCTAATTAACTTCCTGATGTTTTTGGTTATTGATGATTTCTTGAACGAAAGCTTTCACCAGTTTTTGGTTATTGTTTCTATTTCTATTTGCGTGAACATGTTGGATTTTGAGGCGACTGATATATAAAATACGGTTACGCAAAAGTAAACTAAAAATTATTACTTCAGGTCTTTATGATTTTTTTTTGACTATCACTGTACAAAGTAATTAATTTTTCTTGCATGATACATGTGGAAATCCTGAAACCTTGCGTTTAAATTGTTGAATTGAACGACTAGTTGTCTTTGTTAAATTGTATATAGATGGCGACTTACTGCCTTCTCAGTTATTATTTACTATCTTACATTAATATTTTACTTTAAATAATTCAAATTTAAACTATTTATTTGTATCTAATTATCGAATGATAAGAAAATTGATACATCCGTTTGAAATGTAGAAAATACCATTTTTCTTCCTTGCTATTGCTAACTATATGTAATTACAAATAAATAATAATTTTATTAATAAGCAACGTTTTAATTCAATTTCAAAAAAAAGGTATATGCAAAAACTATTCTGTTAATAGTTATAGTCCAAACTTCAGTTGCCCCTTTTTATGTTTAACATTTTTACGTTATTTTGGTGTTTTAACAATGAAATGGTCATTAATTTACATTGTCGTCAGAAACTGTTTGTCGATTATTATTCGTTACATTTTTGTACATAACATGCACCTTTTTAAATATTCAAAATAATTGTTTAACAAGTCGAAAATTGAGTTGCGCTTTTCAATGTTTAACATTTCTACAAAATTTTCGGGTTTTAACAATGAAATTTAGTTTAATTTAAACTACAGTCAAAAACTGTTGCCTGTACCATATTCTCCACATTTTTACATATTAAATTCACCTTTGACATGTTTCAAAATAATTGTTCAACAGGGCGAAAATTGAGTTGCGCTTTTCAATGTTTAACNTAACATTTCTACGTATTTTATGCGTTTTAACAATGAAATTTGCTTTAATTTGCACTGCAGTCAAAAACCGTTTCCAGGACGTTATTCCCCACTTTATTATGTATCACATTCACCTTTAACATCTTTCAAAATAATTGTTTAACAGTTCGAAATCTTAGTTGCGCTTTTCTAGGTTTAACATTTCTACGTATTTTATGCGTTTTAACAATGAAATTTGCTTTAATTTGCACTGCAGTCAAAAACCGTTTCCAGGACGTTATTCCCCACTTTATTATGTATCACATTCACCTTTAACATCTTTCAAAATAATTGTTTAACAGTTCGAAATCTTAGTTGCGCTTTTCTAGGTTAAATATTTCTACGTATTTTATGCGTTTTAACAATGAAATTTGCTTTAATTTGCACTGCAGTCAAAAACCGTTTCCAGGACGTTATTCCCCACTTTATTATCTATCACATTCACCTTTATACATATTAAATTCACCTTTGACATGTTTCAAAATAATTGTTCAACAGGGCGAAAATTGAGTTGCGCTTATCTATGTTTAACGTTTCTTTCAAAGTAATTTCAATGTAATAATTTAACACGTCGATAACGCGAACTTATTTTACTGAAACCTCAAATATTGTCTCCTTTGGTACATCTTTTTATTTTTTAGTATCGTTTTATTTATCAAAAAAAAATGTATACTCGTTTGTGTTTTTCTATGACTTTGACAAGAGCGAATTCGTCATTATCAGAAAGGCTTGCTTCGTCACGAATGATAGAACGAGGTAGATATAATAGAGTGAGAAAGAGATGGAAATTGAAACATTTCTTGTAAAAGAAAAGTACTTCGGTGTCCAGATCCGATCTAACACGAACAATAGAAATTAATAGTACAATTTACTGTTATTATTAATTCGGCGCCATGATAATGGGTAGTATCGAGTGCTATTAATTAATTGAATTATCGCGTTAGTTTTCGTAGATTAGTAAAGACTTATCCAATATCGTATTGTGCAACCATCTATGTGAATTTGAACAGTGATAGGAACGAAAGTTGTACTTAGAATTAGGATTACGACTAGAGTGGAGTTTAAACGGTGAGTTATTGAAATAAGAGTTATCATCCGTTTTAATCGTTATCTTGTATGGTCGTCATCGTTAAATTTAGTGTTTGTTATGTTTTAAATAATAAGGTTGCTCCTTAATTATTACATCAGAAATACCTCAATTTGTTAACAAAGACTGAATCCAAACGCGCAAGTACTGGTTGTTGTATGATTACAATTGTGAACACTGAACACAATGGTTTTAATTAAGAATTTCTTTTATTAGTACAAACTATATTTTTATAAATGATCTTTACGAACATTTGTGAATTACGTAAAAGAATTTTAGTTTTATTGATTAATTTTTATAAAATAACGTGCAGATATAGTATGTACGTATGTTTTCAAATTCGAAATTTTGTAGTACTACTATTTGAACAAAATAATAATCTTTACCTTTTAATATAAACCAAAATTGGTTTAATATTATTTTCATTAGTTTAAGTATTTTTTTGGGAAGGTAAACTAAAAAAGTCAGTAAAATTCGTGTTTGCAAACATTTTTCAAAAAAAAAATTCTACAATCTTCTTACAATTTACATTTGTCACCTACCCAATATAAATTTTGTTTAAAATTTCGTATAATAGGCGTGAAAAAATGTCTTTTAGTTTAACCTTTTCACCGCCATTGTTTTCCTTGTACTTAATACATATAGTTCGCTTGTAGCAGCTAGCCTTAGGTATCTTATACGGTCACTTGAGTAAGTTGTCTCACTCAGATGAACTGCTGATGGCGCCTAGGTGGTTCATTGTATGAGGTGGAGGCTTCGGAAAGAGCGGCTGGATAGCTAGCTTATATAATTTACCGCGACTCCGTATTTATCCTTCTCCCTCAGTGACAGCGTCGAAATGGTCAGGCCTGCAGTTTCGAAAATTCGAAGCTGTAAGTCCGGTCATTTCGGCGTTTCACTGGTGGATAAGGATCTGATTTAAATACGGAATGTTTTGCACTTTTTGAAATCGAAAAAATTAGGTCTTCAACAATTTAGATGTATTTAATTTTTAAAAATGGTAATTAATTTATAACTATTTCAATGTTTAATTTTAGTGTTCTTAACAGTGTAAAGTACAATAAAAAATTTAAAGACGAATAAGTAAATTGCCCTGCAAGAATTTGTGAAAAACACTACCCTTTTTAAGTTTAGGTTGCAAGTGTCCACTTAATGTTATTGTTTTTTTATTCTATCAAAACTGAAGGTATTCTAGGTTTTCAAACTTGATTACTTTGTGAAAAATCGCCTATTTTTACTTATTCTCTCATTGTTCCTTAATTGAGCTATGTTTATTCTTATTCTCATATGTATATTTTATTGAGCACCTATAAACACATAACATTTAGTAAGGAAGTGTAACATTGCGCTTATGATTATGAATGACGAAAGATTTTCACAATCAAATTTGCAGCAAAAACCGTTTTCAGGACGTTATTCCCCACATTTTTGTGTATTACATTCACCTTTAACATCTTTGAAAGTAATTGCTTAATAGGTTTTCTGTGTTTAACACTTCTACGTATTTTTCGAGTTTTAACAATGAAATTTGCTTTAATTTAAACTACAGTTAGAAACTGTTGCCAGTAAGTTATTCCCCACATTTTTATGTATCACATTCATCTTGGATATTTTTCAGCATATGGCAAATATTTCGCTTTTAAGCATTTCACTCGTTTTTTTCTATGAAACGTAATTTCTGGTCAAATTAAACGTAGCTTTCGTACTGTTCAATGTTATGGAGAAAGAGGAATTTACATATCTGGGTGTATTTTTTGGGTTGTTGTTGAGGATTTTGAAAATTGTTTTATTTCTAGGACACTTTATTCCAGAACAACATGAGGTATTTTTCTATATAAAAATGTTTAATTCTTCGAGCGTACTACCTGCCTTCTTCTCTCCGAATGCTCACTCTCTCTATCGGCACGGTATAACAACTCCGATGCTCGTTGAACTCACAAACTAATTCATAATTTGTTTGAAACAATGAAACGTAATTTCTGGTCAAATTAAACGTACTTGCAGTTTTTCATATCTGTACTGCTTAATGTTATGGAAAAAGAGAAATTTGCATATGTGGGTGTATTTGTGAGGTATGTAATGAATGCCGTGAGTGGTGAGGATTTTAATAGTTGCTTCATTTCTAGGACACTTTAATCCAGAAAAACATGGGGTATTTTTCTATTTTAAATACAATGAGCATTCGTGTTAAATAATGAATTTTATATTTAAAAGCGTTTAACTATTCGAGCGTACTACCTGCCTCCTTCTATCCGAATGCTCACTCTCTTTATCTGCACGAGCATCAGAGTTGTTAGATGCTCGATGAATTCATAAACTAATTAATAATTTGTTTTATCGTTAAAAAATGAAGCATTATTCCCCACGTTTTTATGTATTACATTCACCTTTAACATCTTTCAAAAAATTGTTTAACAGGTCGATATTTTAGTTGCGCTTATCTAGGTTTAACATTTCTACGTATTTTATGTGTTTTAACAATGAAATTTGCTTTAATTTGCACTGCAGTCAAAAACCGTTTCCAGGACGTTATTCCCCACTTTATTATGTATCACATTCACCTTTAACATCTTTCAAAATAATTGTTTAACAGTTCGAAATCTTAGTTGCGCTTTTCTAGGTTTAACATTTCTACGTATTTTATGCGTTTTAACAATGAAATTTGCTTTAATTTGCACTGCAGTCAAAAACCGTTTCCAGGACGTTATTCCCCACTTTATTATGTATCACATTCA